AGCAGCTCGACGTGCATGCCATTTTGGACTTGAACAAACCTTTAAAAAATAAAAACATAGTTCCTCTTTTGTTTTTCAAATCATTTATCCTATGTATTAACTCACTTGTTCTAATTGTTCAATTAACTCTTCCATAAAATGCTTATGCAGATATGTCATAGCTACACACATTCGAGTGATTGTTAAGTTTTTTCGAATAAAATCATCATTTGCAACAATACTTTCTATTTCACAAAGCTAAAAACAAATAAATTATAATTATAATTAAATTCTTAAATTAACCATTTAGCTCTCGTTAGTCACTGAAGTGAATATTTGTAAAAGAATGGCACAAAGTAAAGAGAGTATGTAAGATATGAAAATAATAAAAATATTTGCTTTCATCGCTTCACCTTTGTAATATCGGATCTACAAAATCGATAACTTTTGAAAAATTCGATTTTTTTCAAACGAAATATTCTCTATTTGATCATTCAGAATATCTTTGTTATATAAATCAATGAAAAATCTCATGAGTGAGTTAGATATATTTCGAAAGCTTCACAATAACTCGACGAATCACATGTTCTAAGGCAAATGATTGATCATAGAGTCATTATTAGGCAATCAAGAACAAAAATAATGTATGTATTAATAAATCATAATTCATGAGAAATTGAAATAGTTTTTTCATTATAAATTAAATGTTTTCAAAAATTATAACAAAGTAAATGTTTATTTAACAACAGGTGTCAAAAACATATCTATTCTTTTGATATTAATTTTTTATCGATTCATTGCTTCATTTTCCTTTCTATGACTACAATAATATGAAATTGATGTTGCTTTTGCCAATACAATAATGTGATCGAAGAAAAAAACCAGGGCTTAGCATATCGCGAAATTCTCTTTTTCTATCACGCAAAAGCTAATACTCTATTTATAAAGGTTTTTTTTTATCAGTGACTCTTGTGAAACTGTTAAAGAGAGTAAAGAGTTAATAAATAACATACATATGGAAATATACGAATAATTGCTTTTTTGATTGGTTGTAAACATTTACTAAATAAATGTGTATGCAATTGTATCACTATAAACAAAACAAAACAAAAAAAAAGAAATAAGTATTATTTTCAATGATAAAATAATCTTCTATTAACCTGTTTCAATAAAATTTAAAGCTTTACGAGCTTCTGGATCAATTTCAACAACTTGACCAGATACATTAGCTATAATAGAATGTATTCTAGTATTATACAAATTGTATAAAAACTTCTACCTAATGGTGTTTTTTCATAAACTTCAATTGCTTGTTGTAATCGTACACGTATCATATCAATAAATTGATTAACATCTGGATGACGTGTTGATTGACCATTGGGTAATGTCACATCAAAAGTCAACGATAATGATAAAACACTAGAAAGAAATACATATACATAAAGAAAATTTTTTGTTAGATTGTGTTTTTTGTTACATAGTAATTCGTTCTCGAATAGCTTTATATGGATGATCAAGTAATTCTTTAGCTTGTTCATTAATAGAACACCAAATACTTGGTACACGCCATTCAAAATTAGTTATTGTTTGAAGAAGATACCAACGTGATGTTTCAAGAAATGTATTTCCTGTTGCATGTGTATTTATTAATGAACGAAGATATTCAATAGGACGATACATTCGACGTGGATCTTCATCTTCCTATTCAAATAAAGTTTTATTAATGAAAAGAAAAAAAAAAAAGGAATTTTTTTTTTCTACGAACTAATCCTAATTTAAAACATGAAGCCCAATAGGAAAGTGTTTCTGGACCAAGATTTAAACAAACTTCATTAAGAAATGTTGTTAATTTTTTCCAAAATTCATCAAGCTACAAAAATATATGAATCATTTTTTCAATAAGAAGAAAAACAACAATAAGAAATTATTATAATAAACCATTTCTATTGTCCAATATTTTGATCCACGTATCATTCC